GCTCATCTGTCTGCGGATGATTACTGGTGGAAAGGTTGAGCTGTATGCCCAATAATTCAAATCTAGTGTCCCTGTCGCTGACTATGTCCAGTGGAAGACCCCAAAGCTTCACAATATGCTTGAGGAACAACTGAGCAGTAACTTTCGCCGTACATACTTTTGGGGGCAGCAATAAAAGTGGCATACTTCAAAAATCTGTCTACAGCCACAAAATCGAAGTAAAATCGTTCACCTGAGGCAAGCCATTGATGAAGTCCATGGAAACACTCTCCCAAGGTCTGTTTGGAATAGGGAGGGGTTCCAAAGTACCTACCACCTTCTTCCTCTCTATCTTGTCTTGCTCGCACACCAAACAAGTGCGCACATACAGCTCCACATCTGCTTCCATACGAGGCCAATAATAACTTTCTGCTAGCAAGGTAAGAGTCTGTTGCTGCCCTGGATGTCCTGACCACAGAGCATCATGAGTTTCTTTCAGCAACATCTGTCGAAGTCCGCCTGACTTCGGCACATAGGGTCTCCTTTCTTTGGAGTAGAGAACACCATCCTCTACCCAAAATCGTCGAGTCACCCCTTCATGGACCTGCTTCAACAATAAGCTGGTCACTGGATCATCTTTTGTCTGATCCTGAATTCTCTGCAGTATGTCTCCTGCAATCTGGTTAAGTGCAACAACCGTCCCATCAGCAACTCGGATTTGACTAAGAGCATCAGCAACCTGATTTGCACTGTCAGACTTGTACTGCAACGTGAAATGAAACTGGGCAAGAAAGTCCTGCCATCTTGCTTGTTTTGGTGTCAACTTCTTCATGGAATTGAAGCAGCTAGTAGCCACATTATCTGTCAGCACAAGGAAATGCTTCCCCAACAAGTAATGCCTCCATGCATTGATGCAGTGAATGACTGCTGTCATCTCCTTCTCATGTACTGAATACTGCCTCTCGGTATCATTCAACTTCCTACTTTCAAATGCCACCGGATGCCCATTCTACACCAGCACCCCTCTAAGAGCAAAGTCTGATGCGTCTGTATGGACTTCAAAAGACAAATCAAAGTCAGGTAAGCATAAAATTGGGCTAGATGTCACCACCGCCTTCAATCGATGGAATGCCTCCTAGCATTCGTAGGACCAGTTCCATGTCCTATCCTTCCTTAGAAGATCAGTCAGCACCGCGACCTTCTTTGAATAATTCTTCACGAATTTTTGATAATACTTTGTCAAACCAAGGAAAGAACGCAGTTCAGTAACCTTAGTAGGGACAGACCAATCTGCAATGACCTCAACTTTCTTCAGGTCTATCTTCACCATGTCCGCTGAAATAATATGCCCAAGGAATGAAATTTCCTTCTGGGCAAATTCACATTTTTCTCGTTTCAGATACAACTGGGCTTTCCTTAACTTTGTCAAGGCCAGCCTAAGATGCTCATCATGCTCCTCAAGAGTCTGGCTATAAACAACTATGTCATCCAAATAAATCACCATGAAGCGGTCAAGTATTCCTGAAATACATTGGTCATCAAGTTACAGAATGTAGCAGGTGCATTGTTTAAGCCGAAAGGCATAACTAAAAACTCATATGACCCGTACCTTGTCACACAAGCAGTCTTCGCCTCATCTCCCTCTGCAATTCTGACTTGATGATATTCCAGTCGCAAATCCATCTTGGTGAAGAAAATCGCCTTTCCCAATCTATCAAATAGTTCGTCGACAAGCGGCACTGGATAGTTGTTCTTGACAGTGACTTTGTTGAGCGCTCTGTAGTCTACACAAAGCCGTAAGGATCCATCTTTCTTTTTCTGAAACAGAACAGGGGCTCCATAGGGTGCCTTGGAAGGTTGAATGAACCCAATGTCCAATAAACCCCCAAGCTGTCTCCTTAACTCCGCCAACTCTGATGGAGACATTCGATAAGGAGCCTAGGCAGGGATTTTTGCCCCTAGAATCAACTCAATGGCATGGTCAATCTCCCGTCTTGGCGGTAACCTTGCTAGTAATTCTTTAGGTGCCACGTCCTTGAACTCAACCAGCAATTGTTGCACTGGTTCAGGAACTTGCAATGCTTTGGACTCCTCTTCCTCAAATAGAACAGCCAAGTATGTTGTTTCCCCCTTTCGCAAGCCATCTTTTACTTGCAAGGCAGACAGCATTTTCCCCGAAGACTTGGCCTTAGTGAGGGGAACAAAGCAAGGATTGGACATGTCCATCATGAACATCCCATGTAAATGCGGCATAACAGACACTTTGCCTTTGTAAGGAATTGCAGTCCAAGGATTACCTGAAAATCATCGAGAGGGACATAAAATCACTTGATCCTTGTCAATCACCAACTTTTAAAGGGACTTCTCTTGCGACGCCGCCTATTGGTTTTGCCTATGAATTCACAGCCTTAATTTGGCTAGAGTCTTTCACCAAAGCCAGACCAAGCCGCTGTACTTCCCGATCAGAAACAAAATTATGGGTTGCACCTATATCAACCATTGTCTGGACAGTCACATTGTTTAGGTGAATCTGCACAAACATCAACCCCCTCTTTTCCACTGTCTCCTCTTTGCGAATTGCATTAAGGAATTGTAATGGGTTGACTCGTGTTAGTTCGTCAAAACAATCAGTTTCTTCAGCCATGAGGGCACTGAGCTTTTCCTTCTTGGGGCAATTGCTGGCATGATGAGGGCCATTACAGATAAAACAGCCTGAGTCAGCACCTCCCTTTGATGAAGAGGCTTTGTTAGTCGGTTTTTCTGAATTGCCAAACTTCTCAGCCTTTTTCTTCTACTTGTCATTCTTAGGGAACTTGGTTTTCCCTTTTGACTCCTTCTCTGGAGGGTTAGCCTGCGTTTTGTAGTCAACCAACACATCTGCTGCAGACATAGCAGCGGGTAAATCCTTCACCCCTTGCCGACGAAGTTTTGTCTGTGCCCAAGTTTGGAGACCAGACATAAAGTTGAACAACTTGTCTTTCTCTGACATATTTTTGATGTCAAGCATCAAAGACGAGAATTGTTTCACGTACTCCCTCACGGTGCTTGTATGTCGAAGTTTCCTTAATGCATCACGGGCTTGCCAAGCCGTGTTGCTGGGAAGGAATTGCTCATTCATTTCAGCGGACAGAGACTCCCAAGTAGTAATTGGAGGACGAGATTTGTCCTCAGAACGTGTTCGCCACCATAATTTAGCATTACCAGATAGGTACATGCTAGTGAGATCTACCTTCTCAGCATCCGAAGTGCAGATTGCTTTGAAGTAGTGCCCCATATCCCACAGAAAATTCTCGAGTTCTTTAGCATTACGACTGCCTGTGAAAGGCTTAGGGTCAAACACTTTGACTTTCTGAGTGCTTTCACTGCCAAAAGCCAAATAAGCATTCTGCAGTGCCTTCTTGAGCACTGAATCGTCTGTCTCGAGGGAACTCAATCTTTCCCCTATATCATTGATCCATGTGGAGATCGTAGCCAGCATGTCAACAACTTCGTTCTTCACTCGACTGAAGTGATTAGATTCAGTATGTTGAAGTTGTTCATGTGCAACCCGCATCTCTTCAAACCATTGATACAACAACTCAATTTGCACAGAGAGAGCCACAGCATCACCGGACTGTGGAGGACCAACCAATTCCTCCAAACGTGCCACCATTTCCCTCAGATCAGCATTCGTTCCGCCAGCCATAGTTGATTTGTTGCCAAAACTACGTTCTGATACCAAACTGTCACAGGGTAACTTTCGTTTTTCCTTCGAGGCTACCTGTGAAGGCGTTGCTACTGCAACTAGCCACACTCAAACTCAAGAATAAGGGACAGAAACTCATACAGAAGGCACACATGAATTTACTGGGACAAAACTCTCAAACGTTATATACTGAACTCAACAATTTACAAGGACTTTCAAAGCCAGAACACTCTCTTCTCCACAGAATGCTCAAGCACCCCTATTTATACATGAGTAAGGCAGATGACACCCCTATCTGCCAAAGGGTAGTTACACACGTTTTTGCTATTCCATAACATACTGAGCTAGCAGGCTTGGTCTCTGTGCGACACCTGACAGACAGTTCCACCACTTCTAGTAACTGCTGTGGAACTGTCCTTCATCAGCATGCATCTAGATTGGATTCAGACTAGGGACGCCCAGAACTGCCTCAGCAACTGCCTTGACTGTGTCTCAGCATCATAACCGCCCACATCCTCCTGGTCACATGCATTGAACAGTCATGTGCTAGTCAAATGCCCACATTCAGCAGTCATGTGTCAATCAAGTGCCCACATTCAACAGTCATGTGTCAGTCAAGTGCCCACATTCAGCAGTCAGCCTAGCTACACGAACCAATGTGCATGCTGGGTTCAACCCATGCCATGCAATCTGAAGCTATGCACCCACATTGCTTCAATTGAGCCCACCATGTGTTGTCATGCTCAACCGGGTGTTCTCATGCTGCCTTGGTTCGCCCCAATCTGTCGAACCACTTAGCCGCATCACCTTGATTTCAACTTATGACATGCCTTGGTGCAAGATGTCACAAAGACCGGTCATTTGTACCCAAGTCAGTTAGGGTGTGACACTAGGCTAGTATAATGGTCAAGTACTGAACTCTAATATGAATTTCAAAATTCGAACATTCAACTTCAAGATGAGAAGTTCGTCGCATTGAACCACTCCACTCGGTGGTTCTTGGAACACATAGCTTAATTTGTGTCCTAGGAAAACTCAACAGTTGCATGCTAAACACATCTCTCAGTTCAATCAAATTATATTTTCCCAGGGGGAATCTAAACAGTTGTAGCATGCAATAGGCTATGTATATTGTCTCAGTCCATTCCAATTCCCCTTGTTTTTTTGAAATCTGGACTATAAACATCTCTCTCTCTCTCTCGCTATATATATATATCTCATTGGACTAGACAAGCAAGGTGAAACAAGCAAGTCACTGGCATCTTTACATACCTTTCAAGTTTCTCGGATTATATCCATGGCAATGATGCCACACAATTTTCCGGCGACCGAAACAATGAGCCTGAAGCTCGTAATCAACACAAAAGGCCGCAGAGTCCTCCTTGCCGAAACTGGAAAGGACTTTGTAGATTCCTTTTTGACATTTTCTCTTTGCCTGTTGGAGTTGTTGTGAGTCTTCTTCCAAAGAAAAGCATGATAGGCTGCTTAGGAAACCTTTATGGAAGCATTGAAGATTTGATTGTGAACTGTATGAGACCAAACGTGAGCAAGAATACTGTGTTGAACTTGAACCCATATCACCACTGAGTTATTTGGACGAAAAGCCCCTCTCGTGGTCAAACATTGTCTCATCACCAGCTGCCAGTTCTCTATACAAATGTAGCCTTTGCGATACCAATGCTTGTAGTGTGGACTATGTGAAGGAGATGGCCTATATGGTAACTGATGATTTGGTTGTGGAGCCTGTGTCCATCATATCTTCTTTGACTCTGCTCAACAGGATTAAAGCCATGGATGCGGATTTTATAGAGGAGAAGATGGTTACTCTGAGTGCTTATGAGGTACCGTTCATACCCCCATTCATTTATAAAAACCTGTTCAACTATTAACTATTACACCCGCATACGACTCATTTATTAGACGAGTTACCCAGTACAATCCATGTGTCACCAGCTAAAGAAAACAATCTTTTAGTTTTTTTTGAGTCTACACAAAAAATACCAAACTTGCCACACATTACATTTATTTGACTTGTTTAGTATAACAATAGGTCATGACTAAGTAAATAAGTATGTGCACAACCACGAATGTGAAAGAAATCACCATTTCTGAGGTGAGACAGACGTTGAGAGCCATAATTTTTTTTTGAGAATTTTAAACGGGTTGAAACATGTTTATAGGTTAAACACGAAACCAATTTATTTATTTCACAAGTTTGTCAAGTTAATCCGTTAACTACCTGAACTTGTTAAGTTTACACTCAAACCAATTAAATCTGTGATGTGTTCGTGTCAATTTCACGAATTGTGTTTAAGATTGTCAGACCTAATTTTATTAATGTAAGAGAATGTGAATAGGAGTTATTATAGAAATAAAAAGATTTTATCACATGGAAAATATGGAAAGAATAAAAAATACTTAAATTGACTGAGCTGTGCAATTAATTATTATTTCTTTATTTATGTCAATGGGATCGCAATAGAAACCAATCAAGCTAGGTACTTACGGATGTGCATCCGATTCCATAATCAAATTCCAATGTTATGACCTCTAATATCAAACTTGGTGTTTATACTTAGTTTGCTCAACTTTTCTTGCCATACAAAAATGACCTGGTTGCATTGGACATTGGACCATGGTCATAACCCAGCTAGCTTTTTAAAGAGTCACCAAAATGATTTGGTTTTATAAGGGAATGTCCAGGAAATTCCTGTATTACAAGTTTTTAGCCCAAAAACTCTTACATCTCTTATTTTCAGTCTTCAGTGTAATGTGAATATTTGTTGGCAATTGTTTATTATTAAGACCACTTGTATTGTTGCTTGTTGGGGGTTGAAACTGCTGAAGGCAGCCTTGCAGTCTATAAATGTGTTAACTGAGGTCTTCCTTGGGAAGGAGGCCTAGTGGTATACAACTTGTATTTCTGATATTTGGATGTTTTTGCTTTGGTGACCTTTTTTGTTTTTTGGTTTCCATCAAATGGCTATCTTGTGCTTTTCTTCTTGTTTTTGGCCTATCATCTGATTGCTTTTCTTCTGAGGAGTTAATGAAACAGCACATGCCCAGACAGGAATGAAGAATGCCCTATCAAGCAGTGTGTGTGTTGTGTTTTTTTTTCTTTTCTTTTTGAACTGGTGCAATGACTAATTCAATCTCCGCTTGTTAATTTTGTGTTCCCAAATGCAGGTTTATTTCGGCGAGGCTTGTTTAATTGAATTCACATATGTGTTTAAGCTTAAACTCAAGTTTAAATTCTTGTTGAGATCAAGCTCAACTTGCTTATATATGTGGATATTTGTACGCGCGCGTGCTCATGTGTATTTGTGTGTGTGTAATATCATATCTTAGGCATCTTCAAGAGCCTACGTGACTCAAACAAGTCATTCTGCTTTCTGGGATTGTTTTAATGAGCTTTAGAATTGAATTTGAACTTAATTTGATTTATGAGCAATTAAACTTGAAAGTCTTTTAATTCGATCCAATTACGAACTGTTGATATTTATTGAAATTCAAAAAAAGGATGGAATGAAAATCACAAGAAACTGCAACTCTCTCTCTCCACCCGCACTTCATCGTCCCTTCTTTTTCGCAAGAAAATGTTGAATGTACCAGGTAGTTATAAAATATCATGTGGACTTGATGGATTTTATTATTTTAATAACTACAAATGAAGATTTTATTTAATACCCGTCATGTTGAAATAGTTGGGTTCACCAATAAAATTTAGTGTTTTATTATTGATTGATAATATTCCTCATTAAAATGTCACCCAAAAGGATCTATCGCCGCCCACCACCACAATCACCTTCGTCACTTATGGCTGCCAGTATCACCATTATCACCCAAAACCCACCACCACCATGATTGTCGGCGCCTACCACAATTATCACTGTCTCCCACCATTATCACTGCCGCCCATTACTAAGGGTGTTTACCCTATACTATAAGTAGGAAATATAGTTTTTTGTTTTTGTACCCGATACTTTGCGAAAGAATTTTTTATTGGCCTACCCTATCCGATTAGGTGGGTATTCTTATTCGATTAATCGGATAGAAAGTCGGGTAAACACTTTTGTAACTATTAATTTTTGGATCATTTTAACAATTCAATTAATTAACATGCATCAATTTAACAATACAATAAATCAATAACACTAAAACTTAAAACAACTACAACAACAATTACCTGAATTTTTATGTTAACTGGATAAGTTTTGAAAGCTTAAAAAGAAAAAAAAACAAAGAAGGCCTGAATGATGCTTAAAAAAAACGGAGAAGACCTGAACATTGCTTGAAAGTTAGGATTTTGAGGGTCATTAACTTGATGCTTAAAAACAAAAAAATTAGATTTGTAAGTACAACAAATTTGATTTTTAGTGACGAATTGACTCGTCATAAAATATATAAATTTCTTCGCCAAAAATTTTCGGCGATAAACTCATTTCGTCGCCATTTTGTCATTTTAGGCTCGTCTGGTAAAGTTTTTAGCGACAACAAAAATTTCGTTGCCAATAATACACAATAGGCAACCATAATTTTGTAGCCAAACATGTTCTTGTTGCGTCACCAATGTTTTGTTCGTTACCAAAAAATAAATTATTTTAACCACATAAAATCTTTGGCAACGATTATATTCGTCGCAAAATGTGAAAATTTCAGCGACTCTCTCTATTTCGTTGCAAAAAATAAGTACATAAAATATTGGAGACAAATATATTTGTCGCCCAAAAAGACAACCAGCATTTTAGCACGGACTATTTTTCGTCGCCAAAAATGATGAACAATGTTTTAGGGACAACTTGTTTTTGTCGCCCAAAAAATAAACATGATTAAATCTCATTTGGCACTATAACAATTAAAAAACACTTATAACAACTCAAAAACATTATGATCAATTTCAATCATACACCCTTGTCAATAGATAATCCATAAAAACACATCACAATTATTAAAATATTCATACATTACTCAAAATATAAAATAACATCCAATAATTTTCAATAGCATCAAACAATATCCAAAACTCCTAACAATATCCAAAATTTTCATGAACGATGAATGCCACCAGATTGCACCTGAACGATGAAGGCCTGAGGTATGGAGGCAAAGGCTTGAGCGAAAAGTCGATGGAGGCAATAGGAGAGGAGAGGAGAGGAGTGGAGTGAGGCACTCGCTTAGTCAGTAGACGATAAGATTGGTTAGCAATTAGTGTTTTTTAAGTTTATATATATAAATTAATTAATTAATGCGGATAGGGTAGGGTAGGAATGCGAAAATTGATGGTATTCCACATTTTTATTCGATTTAATCGAAAGACCAAAAACTTTTCCGCATTTCTACCCAATTTTTGCGGCTAGCCGTTTAGTAGAGTAGGGTAGGGTAGGAAATTGTGGTCAATCGAGAAATTGAACACCTTTACCCACCATCACTACCACCGCTCACCCCCACTATAACTGGTGTTTAAGTTTTTTTATCTCTCATCTATGTTTGTGATTTGATTTTAGGTGTAAATACAAATATATTTATTGTTGATCATTTTTTTTATTACTCCATGCCTTCAGGCACAACAATGACTAATCTATATAATAAAGTACAACATAAAAAATGAACTTTAATTTTCGCAATTCAATTCATTTTAAATTTTTTTAAAGTTAATTTGACGGCTAATATTAACTCTCTAAATTTAATAGAAAAAATTAGTCTCCTAAGGGTGTGTTTGTGGAAAAAAAAAGATGTGTTTGTGGTGACTTTTCAAATGTGCTTCTAAGACTTATAAAAAAAAGTAGTGCTTGGAATAAGTTATTTTAATTACTTCCAAATAAGTCAAAACTAATTTTACCACTTAAATAAGTAAGTAAGTAAGTAAAAGTAAAAAAAAAATAACTTCTATTTCTTTAAAATCACTTCTCTGCAAAACACTTCATCATTTCTCTATTTCTTTAAAAAAAAAATAGCTTAGTTTGCAAATCAAATCACGATGGCAACTAGATGGATGAACTTATATTACCTACATCAGAAAGAAAATCGGGGAAAAGATCAACAAATGGGTTAGTGAAAACAAGAGAATATAAAGAAGTATCGGATGAGAATTGAGAAACACTAGTGAAGACTTTGTGTTCCCAGAACTGAACATGTCAGGAGACTCAAAGACGCTTGATTATGGGGTCATAGCACCGATAACCTTTATGTTCAATGTCATAACCAAAGAAAATAACAAAGATGAGAATGGTTTTCGAGTTTTGTATGCTCATGAGGTGGGAGTAAGACAAAACAAACACAACCATAACCTTTTAAAAGAGAATAATCAGGTACTTTTCCATAAAAAAAGTTCATTTGGAGATCGATTTGAGATAGTAGGAGAAGGAACTCGATTGATAGTGTAAACATTTGTAAGGGCGACTTCTCTCCAAACAGATTTTAGAGAGAGGTGGAGAAAAGGACATCTGATTCTTCCCTGGTGCCTCAAAAGAAGTTTTTAAATTCTGTGTCTCACATATATACTACTAATGATTCACTGACATTTGTTACTCATGTTAGTCCTATTTTTATCCCTACTCTTTCTATACCTAACACGTATATTGTTCTTAACTTGTCTCTAAATCTTCTTTTCATTGGTCAACTTGTTGAATATAGTCTTATCTTAACATTTTCTTAGAAAGGTTGTGATGTGTAGGACCAGAAAATAGACCATCTCGTTAGGACCGAGCGTAAAGTTGGTCATCTTTTTAACTTACATGTCAATATATGCCTAACTCATGTTATGTTCAACCTCTTGCTGTTGTTGTGTCTTATAGTATTTGATATTCTCGTCTTGATCGTACGTCTTTACCTCGTGTCCAGTCTTTAACTTTTAGTGGTTGTTTAGGAGATGTTAAATTTGAATTGTTTGGTTGTATGTCTTGTCAATTGGGCAACATAAAACTTTACCTTTTAGTAGAAGTGATTATTTGTCTTATGTACCTTTTGGTTTGACTCATTCTGATATTTGAAGACCTGTTCTTATCTCCACTAAGGGTGGGTCTCGTTATTTTATAATTTTTATTGATGATTATTCACGATACATATGACTTTATCTTTTATATGATCGTTTTGACTTAATTAATATCTTTTGTGATTTTAAGCAGATAATAAAAACTCAGTTTGATCGCACTATTAAAAATTTTCATTTCAATCAGTTGCCTCAAGGTCTGCGAGAAGCCGAAAAAGTTGTCGAAGAGGGTGTGTCGCCAAAGGACAACTAGATGATGGCCAGGAGGCAATTGGAGGATGACTGGAAATTCGCTAGATGATAGTTGGGAGACGATCGAACTTCGCCAAAGGACGATCGTACAATCGTTGTCGTCAGATGGCCGAGAGGCAATCAGAATATTGTCGGTGGACTACCAAAAAGTCGTTAAAGAATGACCCAAAAAGGTTGCTGGAGGATAGTCAGGAGGAGAAGAGCCCCAAGAGTTATGATGTGGAGGATCTTTCGTAGGGTAACTACAAAGCATACTATCATTAGCCTGAAGGATTCACGAGTTTAGACTCTGATAGCATATGAAAAAAGAGAATAGAAAATAAATATTAATTGTATATTGATCAAGTAAACCCTTTATGTGTCATGTGGTGCATATTTCCGATTTAATTTTGCCACAATACTTCC